GTGTCTTTTCTCTCTCTATCCCTCTGTTCCCAACTTCTCATTTCTTACTTTCTTTCTTTCTTGCTTTCCTTCCTTCCTTCCTTCCTTCCTTGCTTTCTTTCTTGCTTTCCTTCCTTCCTTCCTTCCTTGCTTGCTTTCTTTCTTGCTTTCCTTCCTTCCTTCCTTCCTTCCTTCCTTGCTTTATTTCTTGCTTTCCTTCCTTCCTTCCTTCCTTTCTTGCTTTCTTGCTTGCTTTCCTTCCTTCCTTCCTTGCTTCCTTTCTTGCTTTCCTTCCTTCCTTCCTTTCTTGCTTTCCTTCCTTCCTTCCTCTCTTGCTTTCTTTCTTGCTTTCTTTCTTGCTTTCCTTGCTTTCTTGCTTGCTTTCTTGCTTGCTTTCTTGCTTTCCTTCCTTCCTTCCTTTCCTTCCTTCCTTCCTTCCTTTCTTGCTTTCCTTCCTTCCTTCCTTTCTTGCTTTCTTTCTTGCTTCCTTCCTTGATTCCTTTCTTGCTTTCCTTGTTTCCTTGCTTCCTTTCTTGCTTTCCTTCCTTCCTTCCTTCCTTCCTTCCTTCCTTCCTTTCTTGCTTTCCTTCCTTCCTTCCTTTCTTGCTTGCTTTCTTGCTTTTTTTCTTGCTTCCTTCCTTGATTCCTTTCTTTCTTTCCTTGCTTTCTTGCTTGCTTTCTTGCTTGCCTTCCTTCCTTCCTTCCTTCCTTCCTTCCTTGCTTTATTTCTTGCTTTCCTTCCTTCCTTCCTTTCTTTCTTCCTTCCTTCCTTGCTTTATTTCTTGCTTTCCTTCCTTCCTTCCTTCCTTCCTTCCTTGCTTTCTTGCTTGCTTTCCTTCCTTCCTTCCTTCCTTCCTTTCTTGCCTTCCTTCCTTCCTTGCTTCCTTTCTTGCTTTATTTCTTGCTTTCCTTCCTTCCTTCCTTTCTTGCTTTCCTTCCTTCCTTTCTTGCTTTCCTTCCTTCCTTCCTTCCTTTCTTGCTTTCTTCCTTGATTCCTTTCTTGCTTTCCTTGCTTTCTTGCTTGCTTTCTTGCTTCCTTGCTTGCTTTCTTTCTTGCTCTCCTTCCTTCCTTCCCCCGGGTTCTGGTTGCCTCACATCTACATAGATTGAGTGACTTTACGTTCACACACTTACTGTACATGTACCCCTTTGAGTTATTTTTTTCTGTCTTCCTACTTGAAGGCAAAAGAATCAGATGAAGACCAAAAACAAAGGAGGAAATGTGACGGAAGAAAAGCTTTTTCATGGCACTGACTCCAAATTTGTAGACACCATCTGTCACCACAACTTTGACTGGAGAATCTGTGGAACTCACGGAACAGCTTATGGCAAAGGTGACTGGAAGAAATGTTGAATAGTATCCATTTAAAACATTTTCATTTCAGTCTTGCAGATGATTTTGTGACACTAGGGTTCCTGCTGTCTTTCCCCACAAATGCAGTTTTTTCACAGTCATCTTTTTTGGTGTCTAAACACAGGTAGTTACTTTGCCCGTGATGCCAGATACTCCCACAACTACACCGGTGACACTGATGTGAGAGACATGTTCATCTCACGGGTGCTGGTGGGAGACTTCACCAAAGGGTCCTCTGATTATCGCCGACCTCCCTCCAAGGATGGAGGGGGCATAAACTTCTATGACAGCTGTGTGAATGATGTAATGAACCCCTCCATTTATGTGGTGTTTGAGAAGCAGCAGATTTACCCCGAGTACCTGATCCAGTACAAGATCACAAACATGTTTATTGATGGCACAGTACCAAAGCGAGTATCGGGGTCGAGACTAGCACAGCAATCTGTGGCGGCACCAAGACACGTGGCAGTAGGGAAACCACTGGTATTACCCGCAGCATCAGCAGTAGTACACAAACTAAATACCGTCTTAAGTCAAACCCCTTCGCGGCACCTTCCCAGCACAGCTTCTTCCATGGATTCAACCAGTGGAAGAGTCAACAAACCCACACCATCAACTCCATTTTCCACACTATCTCCAAGGGAATTGTTAGACTTTTCTGAAAATGTTAATTACAAGGCATATGTAGCTGAGTTAGTAAAAAAGTTTTCCAGAAGTGGTACCTGAAAATGTGAGTTATGATGATGTGAACTGTGCTCCAAAATAAGAGTTGGTAGCACCAGCTTCCCAGTTAGATTCTATTAAAGTATTTTAATATGAATGATGAAGAAACTTTGACAGATATGCTGAACATGTAGATTAGAGGTGGTGCAGGTTTCTAAAGAAAGCTTCAGAAATGTTAAATGAATCATACTTTCTCTTTCTCGTTTGTTTTTTCTCTTTGTTGTTTTGATGCTCAAACCTTTCCACCTAAATCACATGTACTGTAAAATTATTTAAGATGAATGTCTCAAACTTGACGGCATTTCCACTCATTATGTTTAAATTACACTTTGAAATAACTTTTATACAGAATAACACAGAAATGGCAGCACAACACTAATATCACATAAGCACGCTGAGCTAGAAGAAACACCTGATTGCTTTTCTCTTAATTATCTCAGGTAGTTAGTGGTTATCATATTAGCGCGTCCTACTGTATTAACACACTGTCAGATTAGGCCATTACAGCCTCAAATTCTCCCAATACCTTGGCTGAGACACATGACGGCCTGTGTGTTGATAACTTTGCTGTTTAGACAACCTTTGTGATGTCAACAGGAAGCTGGGACCAACTTCTTGGAGCACAGATAGAAACAAAGTGCCGCGGTGTGTGTGACACTCACTTCTCTGTCTTTGGAAAAACATGTAAAAAAAAAAGAGAGAAAGAAAGAAAACAATAAAGGATGAGCACAAAGACGATACTGTGGTCGTTGTTCATCTTTCACACTTCGCCCTGTTGTGCACTGATGAGCGCACGCTGCTGCTGTTGGAGTCAAACACATGGAAGTTTCCTTAAAACTCGACATGAGG